AATATAATCAAATTGGGGGTCCACAAAGTTAGGTAGAAATGGATCATCAAAGGAAGTAATACGGTGTTTGTAAGTAATGAAGTTCTCACTATTTAAAGCAGAGTGGTAGTCAAAATGTGATGAAAGGACAATGACATATGCATTTGAACCAACATGGTTTAAAATTTTTAAAAGACCAGCACTACAAGCTTGCAATATGACATAATCCCCAATATTAAATTCAAAATATCGTTTATGCGAATCAACTTGAAGTTTATATAATGCATTACTTGCGTCATATTGTTTATTGATCTCAATATGCAAGTCATGAAGATGATATACAAATGCTTCAACTAACAACAACACACTAGCATGCAGGGACATGAGAATAAGATCTAACGATCGCCTAAACTTATAACTATGAACAACTTCAAATGGATTTAGACCTAGAAACCAATTCATAGAATTGTTATATGCAATATGAACAGTTGGGGGGATCGAGTCCCAATTCCCAAGATTTTTCTGGACTAGAGACTCTAATAAATTGCCAAGACTTCGGTTAGCAATTTTGTTTTGACCATCTGTTTGAGGTTGGGCAATAGTGGAGAATTTCGACTTAGTGCTAAGAACAGGCGACTGGATTCTCCAAGGGTGACTAGTGAAATCATCAAACTCTTTGAGTTGGGTAAGGGTATGACATATAACATGTGATCGAGAGTTGTCGGAAACAAGGGGTATAGTTTCTAAAGTCTCGGGAAGGGTCGGGATTCCACTTAAGGAAGTATCCTCACTATCATCCAAGTCATCAAAATCTTCAAGTTTATATTCATAGACTAGATCTTCTAACGACTCTTCTATTACATCCTTTCGTTCTTTTATCACTAAAGCTCGGTTAGGACATTTGGAAGAGACGTGGCCAAAGTCCTTACAGCTGATGCATAGCAAATGAGAAGAAGTCCCAGGAGTTTCAAAAATTTTACCCTTATTTTTCAAGATTTGAGGAACCTTAGACGGGGGAGGTCCTAGAAGTGACTTAACAGGAGGAGGTGGAGTCGATGAGATGGAAGAATGGTTGTCAACACGCCATCTATAAGGAGAAGGAGACCTTGGACTATCACGACCTTTGCACTTATTTTTCCAAATGGGAGGAACACTAGACGGGGGAGGTCCTAGAAGGGACTTAACAGGAGGAAGTGGAGCCAATGAGACCGAAGGATGATTGTCATTACGCTTTCTACATGAAGAAGACGACCTTGAGCTATCACGACCTTTGCACTTGTTTTTCCAAAGGGAAAGAACACTAGACTGGGAAGACTCTATGATAGACTTATGATGAGATGACGCTAATGAGTTGGGTGAACGATGGTGATCACACTTTTCATATGCAGTACTAATAAGTAATTCGTAGTCCCTAGCTGAAGAGTAAGCTTGATCAAGAGTAGTGATGCCTTGAAAGAAAAGCTCACGCCTAAGTTCATCTCGTAGACCTTGTATAAACCTACTTAAAGTCAGGGCCTCATCCTCAATGACATGACATTTCACTCGAAATTCCTCAAATTGAGCAATGTACTCAGTTACTAGCTGATTCTCTTGTGTAAGGGTGTTCCATTGGGTAAAAATTTCATGATCTAAGCAACCATCGAAAGTAGGAATATCTAAATCAATGTCTCTAAAGAAACGCTCCTTACGACGAGGAAGAGAATGAGTACTATGATGACCATGGCCTTGGTCTCGCTCACGAACTTGATCCCTATTCCTACGATCGCTTCGAAAATATTCTCGATCACTTTGTCCACAATGATATTGTCTATAATGAGACGCTTCAGAATTAGTGTCAGTCAAACGAGGGGTTCGCTTAAAATTGCTCAACTTAGCAGCTAGGGTCTTTCTCTCCTCACGAGTAGCAGTTATATCTGATTGGACTGTCGATAGACTAGTGGCAAGTTGTGCTAATTGTCTAGCGAGTGCATCAAATTGGGATGGATCCATTGTCAATGTATTGGAAATAGAGATGACAAGACGACCACTACGCAACTACATGCAATGTAATACCAGCTAAATGATGTGCTATGATGAGATCAGTGAATAATACATGCAAGTAATGGAAAATAACTTGTACCAATTTTTTTAATTTAATTTTAAATATTGGGATTAATTAAATTCAAAACAAGCTAATACTGCTGGTACATGTAAAATGACAAAGCAATGGTCAACACACTAGTCAAATTCTCCAATCAATTTAAGTGGGGAACAATGGAAGTCAATTAGGTCATTGGTATCAATTCGATTAATGGTTTCGATCAAGTGGGATTTAAGGCTAAAATTATCACGATAACAGCAGCACAAGATTGTAATTGATGCAATTTTAAAAATGAAGCAGTAGTATAAACCAATACAAAATAGAGATCAAGGACTCCTTGTTGTTTAGTTTTGATTATTTGTATGTCGATTGATCTGAATTGTTGACTTATGAGCCCCAACTATGCTTCTATTCTTCCCTTCGTGTCCAATGGTTTTAGCCCCTGTTGACTGTAACTTGTGCTGGTTCTGGTGTAGACGTAAAACTGCGTGTGGTGACTGTGACTTTTAGATTGTTGAGATGGACAAGAAAATAAATAAGTGTGGTAATTATGGTGGAAGTGTATGATCCTGGGTTGGTGGTGGTGGCCTATGGTGATGAAGCGGTAGTGCTCTGGATGCCTAGGTACAATAGATAATAAAGTGGTGGCGTGATGGTGATTAAAGGCGACAGCGGCAAGAGAGTGGTTGTGAGAGAGAATCGGGTGAAATTGTGGGGTATTTGATGTTAATGGATTGGTTATAATCGGGTTTGATTGGATATTTGGGACTGTGCCAGATGGGAAGGGGTTTTGAATCCTGTTATAGAAATGAGCCAGCGGTGTTAGTGTTTGGGGAGTGGGTTTGAATTGGATTAAATGAGAGTGAGTTTTAACTGGGATCGGAAGTAATTTGGGCCACTAGTTTATGGCCCAAATGTCTTGATAAAAGGAATGGGCTCGCCGGTAATAATTATATGTGGATATATGGATTATTATAGTGTTGGGTTAACGTAAAGTGAGCTGATCTTGTATGTAGGCTGAATGTAAGTAGGGTTTGATTGTTAGGAATGAAATTTATGAAACAGCACACTTAGCAACAGCAAACGCCTAAATCTCTAAAACTGAATTTTTTGTTTTGTGGGAACTGCA